GACCCTCACCATCAACGGGCTGGTGTGCTGCGTCCTTGTTAACGGTCCTCGAGGCGACCCTGGATTTATCACATCTGGTCCGCATTGTGCTCAGGAGCACCAAGTAGAGCGAATTCAAGGGGCGTCCCGCAACCGGCTGGCGCCTGAAGGCTCTTAGCTGGTTTCCCAGAGGCCCAGCTTTCCCAAAAGGGTTAGCGTCCTATACGTTCTGCTTGGTGGGGTTCGGAAGGTCACTGAGTGACGGGTTGGGCCAGAACAGAGTTTCCAATGTTGGGGTATCTTGGGGTGATGGTTCTAAGTTCTAAGTTGGACACATGGGGAGCCCTCCCAGGTAGACCATTCCTTTGCAGCTCCTTTCAGTGAAATGCCGCACCCGCTGCAGGCGAGACCCTTGCGGCAGCTTGGTTGCACGGAGGGTCTCCCAAGGTGACTATGGAACCTGACCAGGGTTGGAAACAAGTTTCCTGCGACCTTTTGGTGGGTTCCGTGGTAGGTGGGAGGGTTATGCATGCTATGAAGTCGAGAGGGTTTTTAGGTTTGCCATTCCCATGTTTAAAGCACCGGACGCGTTTCACACATTTCTCCCCACCCTCACACTATGAGGCAAGCAGTTTGACCTCATACCAACCACAATGGATTTTTGGCAGGAAATGGTCTGCCAAGACTCAGCATTCGCAGCCCCTACCAAGAAGCAAGTTTCGGCCAAGCATCTTCCTGCATGTATTTTGATGAGCTGCCCTGGCACTAACACGGGTTCACCCAAGTGTAGGTCGTTTTCAGGTGTCCTTAACTCCAGTTTGGGAATTGGCTTTTGGGCCTTTCTTCCAACAAAAAAAGGGCTTGCAGCCCAACTTGTCACAGAACAAGTCCCCATGTCAACCCCCGTTAAAGTGTCTTATTTTGGGGCTGGGGGCTGCAAAAGGCGCAGCCCGGAGAATGAGAGTCACTTGCGAAGTTCTTTGGGCTGGGTTGTGACGGCCCGGTTGAGGAGATGAGCTTCTTTGACATCTACATGATTTACCCGGAGCTCGCGCCTCGTCAAATTTGGATGGCTTTGAAGTGGCAAGCAGGGGTTCAACGTAAGAAGCCATGGATCATAGCTGAATTTTGGATTTTCCCAGCGGGCCAAAGTGGCCCAACATCGCAATGGGTTCATTTCCCTTCGGCTTGTGGAGCTTGCCGTTAGCTTTTCGATGGCCGAGTGTTTGCCCAGAACCCGCCGGGAGGCTTCTGATGGTTGATGTTAGCTCGAAATCGAGTTGGCACGCAATTCACCTTTCACCAAACTGCTTGGGCGACCTCTACGTCATCAAAGAACCCTGACTAAGGCCATACTCCAAGGAAGCCAGGGGCAGGGGGTGATTAGGGGTGGATCCTGGGACGCTCAAAACCAATGGGGCGTTCTCCATACAAGTTCTCGCTTCGCTTCTGAGGGCCTGTGGAAAGCCACGTCAGGTCGTCAGGTCCTCAATGTCTTGAAGTGGATCGGGGCGGTAAACATGGAGACCAAACGCCGGCGAACGTTTGGATCCCCAAACAACTTCGGGGTCTTCGCAGCTCGTGAAAACCGATCTGTGATAAGGGTCCCTTGGTTTTGGGCCAGTCAGCCTGATCAGATACACAGAATCCCAGACTCCCAGAACCTGAGCGCCCAGGAGCCGCTTTTTGGCTCGAGGTCGGAGGCCCTCGGAAGAGGCTCACCATAAGGGTACCAGGGGGGCAGGGTGAACTCTACCTGGCAATTCTGGGCGAAACATGCGCGCACTACTCATGCAGCCCTCATCTTCTTCATGTTTGCCACTTTTTGGAGGTATGCCTTTGTTTGTGCCACCCCGATTTGGTAATTATAAATCACCCTTTTGGGGGCTCCTGTTATTCGGGCAGCCTACGAGCTCTTGAGCCTTGAGGATTTGGAGCCGCTGCTGCTGGCGGAGCACGTGTCCATCACCAACGGCGGGGTCTCGGTGATGATCAACTTCCCGGACCGGGGCTGTTTGGCGCTTGGACGTCGGCTTGCAGCGGGCTTGGTCTGGATGGAGCTAGGGCAGCTAGGGGTTTGGAGCGGTTGGAGAGTTCCGGAGGGCTGGCTTTCAGGGTGGCTTCGGGGTGCCGAAGGGTGGTGGCTGCTGTTGGGGATGCCGCGGGAGCTGATTTTGTTTGTTTTGTTTCAGTTGAAGACAGCCCCAGAAGAAACGCCTCAAAAAAGACACCCATGTTAACGTTCCACCGTCTGAAGTTTGCTTGGCCCTTGCGTTGGCTTGGATGGCTACCACTTGCTGAGGCAGAGCCCTGTCTACGAAGTCTCTAAGTAAGACCTACCCTAGACACCTAGGGTTGCTGGAATTGCTGGAAGGCTTTCCAACTGCCTAAGCCTTCCCAACCCCTCAGGCGGGCGCCTGATGAGGGTTTTGATGCACTGGGTCCGCCCCCTGAACCACCTGCAGGTTAGCCATGCCAAGTTCTGGGATGCTTTCCACCATCCCAAGCACCACTTGCCTCAAGGGAATTCGGCAAACATATACATTGATATAGTGGCTACCTAGTAGTGAACTACGCCATTTTTCCTTGCCTCCCCGCACATCAGCATGGAGCCCTAAACACCTTATTTTTTTGCACACATCTCCTTCCTGACTGAATGAACCCGGTTTGGTTCCACGTTAATTTGCCGGGGCCAGTGGCTTGGTGGCGAAACACATTGGACAGTTGGTGCCGTCCGACGGAACTTCCGGAGCGCTCCGGGAGGAGCACCAAGGTGCAAGTGAAGTCCGACAGAATCCGCTTCGCACCAGTTGGTAGGTTTGTTTTTTTGTTTTTCCCTGGCAATTAATTGTTCGTAGGGTTGCATTGGTTTCAACTGGTGCGAGATTCTGTCCATCCACCGTAGGAAACTCCCTTCCGAATGGTTTTAAAGACCGAAGCTAAGGTCCAACATTTGGAGGGACCATCAGTAGACCTGGATGACAAGGTCTGTCCCCTTCATGGAGCCCAAAGCGCCCTTTTCAGAGAGGAAGATTAAACTGAACATAGGCCCCCTCGGTCAGGTTCCATGTTAAATGGGGCAACTAAAGCAAGAACTGTCAGTGAGCGTTGGTTCAACGCACCTTTTGAGTTTTGGGGACATCGCAGGAGGGATCCGGTGTTGTTTGCTTTCCTAGGGCTGTTTTTTTGCAAGGGCTGGTCCCCTGGTTGGTTGGTTGGTTGGTTGGTTGGTTGGTTGGTTGGTTGGTTGGTTGGTTGGTTGGTTGGTTGGCCGCATCCCCGGCATCACCAGCCTCACTTGGCCCTGGGGCAGCTCTTTATGAGGGTGGGTCTTGGGGTGGTTTGGGGTTGATTTAGGCGAAGCGAAGGGCTGACATCCAGGCCGCAGTTGGGCTGTTGTAGGAGTGGGTTTGGGTTGGTTTGGAGCTGATTTGTGTTAGGTGTGCTGCTGTTTTAGCAGTGGCTTCAGGGTTGCTTTAGCGAAACCGATCCCACACCCTAAAGCAACCCCAAAGCCGCTGCTAAGCAGCAGCACACCAAGCACAATTCAGCTCCAAACCAACCCAAACCCACTCAAAGTCAACCCTAAACTTGCCAACTGCGGCCTGGATGTCAGCCCTTTGCCTAAATCAACCGCAAACCACCCCAAGACCCACCCTCATGAAGAGTTGAGCCAGCCAGAAGCACCCCTAACTTAAACCAGCCCCCAGCAACCCCCAACTGCCACCCAACCAGAGCCAATAGGCAACCCCAGGTCCAAGTGATGCTGGTGATGGTGGGGGTGTTGCCAGCCCTGCAGAAAACCAGCCCTAGGCCGTTACCCATCGCAGGAGGGTGTCACCGGGAACCACGTGGTGTGCCAGTTGGCCATTGAGGGCTTCAACGAGGAGGGCGAGCAAACCTACGCGCGAAGCCTCCTGGAGTGAAGGGCAGCGGGCCTGCGGTCCAATGGAGGGGTGCATGATGTGTTGGATACGTTCACCCCAGGTAGCCTGAAATCCAGGGGTGGCTAATTCTCCCCAAAATTGCAATTTTCCGAGTTATTTTTTCTGAGGGTGGCAAAACAAATCTGCTTTAAGCCATCCCGCAGTTTGAAGCGTGCTGGTCGCTGGGCATGGTCAAACAACCCCTTGGGGTTGGCAGGGATGATTGATCTCGTGAAGGTTCCTCCAAGGCAACATGACCACCCACACTTTCGGAGTTTTGACCGTGGCACATATGGCTTGCTTTGGTTGTCTACTTGCCCAAAGCGAATCGACATGTCAACCTTTTGTTTGCCAGTTGTTTTGTTGTTGTTTTGTTTTCCTCCCCGAAAGGTGAACACCTTATGTTTCCAGGTCCTGGGGGCAGGTGAGCTACATCTTGCAATACCCTCTTGCAGCTGGCGTCCGGATGTGACACACCCCCACAGTGGCGGCGGTCATGAAACATGACCTGTCATGGTCAGGGTCATGGTCATGGTCATGGTCCTATTTGTTTGGCACTAGCATCGTTCCACAGACACTGCGCGCCCTTTGCTAATGCCGCGCACTCTGCTGCGTTTCTTGCACAGCCACGGCGTTCTGCGCCAAAGCAAATGCTTTGGCCATCTTGCGGCGCTATTTGTTTACTATTTGCGTTGTTGCAGGCAAGGGCTTGAGGAGCACTTGAGAACGAGAGCTTAGCAGGAGGGATGGGGATTTGCGCGGCTGAGAGTTCGACGGCTGTTCAATAGTATCTGGCGTGCGCTTGCGTGTTTAATTAATTAGGTCTCGCGATGGCCTTTGGCGATGCCGGCGTGCTGCGGAGCCTTGCACGCTTTCAAAGTTTTGACCGTGACAGACGCGCTGGTTCCAAAAGCTGGATGAACACCTTTTGTTTCCAGGTCCTTGGGCAAGCGCGCTACATCTTGCAATGCCCTTTGGCAGCTGGCTTATGGATGTGACAAACCCCACAGTCCCCAGCCCTTTCAGCCTCAAGCCTCTCTTCCAGCCGCCACCCAGGCCAAGCCTCCAACCTTCGACTCCTCCACCCAGACAACCCTACACCACCCCCAACCTCCACACCTCCAACCATCCCCTCCAGCCACACCGCCAGCCTCCAACTTTCACCTCCAAGCCTTCAAGACAACCTAAACCCTCTAATCCCCAACCCTCCAACCCAATTTCCACACCACCACCGCGCCAACCGTCCAGCACTTCAACCTCCATCTTATGGCTGGAAGACCAAGACCTACAAAGCCGCAAGGTGCGGGGCTAACCGCCAACCCTCCACCTTGCACAGGTCCATGGCCCAGCCTCCAACCCTCCCGACCATCATCATCATCATCATCATCATCATCATCATCATCATCATCATCATCATCATCATCATCATCATCATCATCATCATCATCATCATCTCATCATCATCATCATCATCATCATTGTCGTCGTCATCGTCGTCATCGTCAGAGTTTAGTGACATCATTTGTTGCGGCCTTTAAGATGATGGGCTACCTTGTGCTTTCAGCGGAGGTCTCCTTGGCACATCTTGGCACCAGCTTTTGCCAATGGGGGTTGTCGGCTGGAAAGGCTGGAATGTTGTTTTTTTGTCGCGGTTTCAGCGTCGTCTCAGCTTGGCCAACGTTCAACCGTTAGCCTGGGATTGAGATGGATTGAGTTTGTTTGGTGCCACCGTCGTTTCACCAAGCCATGCATTTGTTGGCACCAGTGCCGTTTCACGAAAGCCATTCCTGAAAAATACGTTGGCCTCTGCCACTTTGGCAGAAAGGGTGGCTTCCCATCATCATTACTGAGGTTCCATGGAGGAGGAACCCCTGGACGGGAAGTCCCACCGCTTTATTGTGTGCCGCACCTGGACACTGGCGCACTTCGAGCTGATGTACGCGCCGCACGGTCAAGACCGTTGGACGGGGCTTCTCTTATGCTTTCTGGGATTCCAGCCTTCCGCAGTGAAACCTTTGTTGTTTGCATCGAGGTGTTTGCAAACAGTATCAATTTGCCTTGTTTGCGTTGTTTGCTGGCCGGTGTGCTCTGTGTCCGCTAGGTCCTTCAGAAGTTCATGCTGTTACCGATGGGGTTTGGAATTGGTATGTGTGTAGCCAGCCCCGCTGTTTGGTCACACGTTGGTGGAGCGCAGCACTGGAAGATGGACAAACTTGATTGTCGACTGCAAATACCATGCTGAACATCCTCTTGTGCCTTCTCTCGGCCTTTCTTGAGCGAAGAGGACGCCATACACACAGCCTTCAGGGCGGATCATTATCATAGCCAGCTGCTTGAACATGTCTACTCATGGGTTGCTCTCTTCCGGCTGCAGCCCCAGCTAGGCCCGGGTTGGCGGCTTGGAACGTGGCCAAGCTGATTTGCAACCAGCTTTTGGTTGGCACACATTTTCAGAGGTACCTGAAGATTCCTTGAGCCTGGGTTTTTTGAACATGATGGCGTTGGTTACTGCCGAGCCCTGATCAATACCCCGGACTTCTTCATGAGTGTCCCGTTTTTGTGGTGGATTCCTTTCTTCCAAGGAAACCAACCCCTGAAAGGGTTGATGAATCAGGCAGCCAGTGAGGTCATGACCTTTGCTCATGACCTTTAGTTACTATTAGTCACTCTTAGGCTGCAATGGCTCCCCTTGGCGCTGAATCAGCCTATGAGTTAACCCTAGGGCCAGCTGAGGTCCTTTTGCCGCATGAACTGCATGGAGATGGAGCGTGTCACGGAGGATGTCCTCAAGGACTATGGCATGGTGGTGGCGCGGGAGCAGCTGAAGGCCTTCGACTCACAGGGCACTTCGTTGTTTGAAATGATGTTCGAGATAAGGTTCGCTAATTTTGGGCCAGTTGCCAACATGTCCTTGGTCGGTTGGGGGACGAAATCAGGTTCATGTTTGTGCTCGTGTCAAGCGTCCACGCGTGGCTTCCAGGCCAGTCATCCGCTGCTGTTAATCGCCTCTTTAGACGAAAGTTGGAGGCACCTCTTTTTGATCCAATGCGGTCCTTGGAGGTGCAACCGCGGTGACAGGGAAGTTTATGAACGTCGGGGTGAATGTAGGCCCCTTGGTGTTCTTGCAGCCCAACTGCAAAGAATTGCATAGTGGGGCAAGTGTCCTTTCACAATCATGTCATGTACATTTTATCACGCGAGGCAAACAGGGCCTGCCCGTTGGTTGTGCCTGATATATCCTGATATTGCACTCGCCCCTGGCCTTAGTACGTCCATGAAACCCAGTTTACAGGTCAGATTAGTTGTTACCATAGGGGTATGGGATATAGATTCGGATTAGCCCACCAATGTTGAACAACCCAGTTAGAAGCTGCCATGAGGGCCTAACAATCAGAATGGGGCTGTGGGCTAGTACTTGAACACCAAATTCAGTCATGATCATAGCAGTGAATTAGTGCGGATGGACAAAATCCTGCACAAGTTGCTCAATCCCAACTGGTGGAATTTCGTCGATCCACCGCATATGGGTGTGTCTTTTTGCTGCTTTTTGGGAGGGCCTACCAGAGAAACCAACAGGAAACCAGCCATTTTGGTGAGCCCGTCCTATTTCAAGACAACCCTCGTAGGAATGATTTCGCCCATTTTCGCTCCAGGTGGTGTCGGGTTTGCGGAAATCGCTGATCTTCGAAGAGATCGGGGAGCAGGAGGTCATCGACTGCCCCGGCCTGTGCCTTCAGCTAATGGAGGAGTGAAACACAGGCAACAAATGGTAAAATGTAGCTGAAACATGGGTAAACATCGGAAGTGGCAGTGTTTCAGCCAGGGTGAACACTCTTCGCAAGGGAAACGATGTGTCATTTGTGCCAGGGCTCGCGTCTCACCGAAAATACGCCACCAGATTGCTGCCTTCTTTTTGAAGCTAGTTTCTTTGGTTGCCGCCGGTGGTTGCTGGACTGGCTGGGAGACAAGATCACCAAGCCACGTTTTCCAGCGGCTTCGTTTCATCAGGTTGAACCACGTCCAAAATGCAGGTTCGAAATGCAACTTGCGACCATTGCTTCCATAAGTTGAGGCCTTAGCTGTTTTATGTTTTCGCAATAGGGCTTGTTACTGTCCGTCTTTTGTCGGGTCCCTGGATGGTCCCTGACTTCATGCATCCACTGGTGGGTTCCCGAAGCATTTTCGAGCAGTTCAGCATTGACATGACGGGGGTTTTGTGTGTGGGGGTGGGACTGGAGGAGTCAGATCTGATATTTGTTCCAGGTGCCTTCGGGAACCAAGCTTGGTTCCAGCTATAAGTTGACCTTAAGATGTTTCATTAATGTCGTCGATGCCGCTCCCGGTCGAACCCAACACTCCTGGTTCATGCACGTTTAACACCGGAGGGATTGACATCTGCCTCCAAACGTTTAACTGGGTACGCGTCAAAATAGGGAACCCCGCAAAACTTCCCGTTTGGTTTCCCTTTCAACCAACCCCACGATGGGGTGATCGAGTGAGGATCATGGTCAGCGACAAGAACATCGTGGCCAAGCCTTCCATGGGACCTGACATGGACTGGACGGCCGGCGCCTCTGATGCCGGAGGCAGCACCTTGGACGCGAAGCCGAGGCAAAGGTGGTGGGTCCAGGTGTGGATTCTCTTTAAGCTGTAAACCAGCCATTTAGAGGTTGAGCATTTTTGCGGAGGTCACTCTGTGGCGGGGTGTTGGAGCCAGAAGCAAATGGGTAGTTGGAGAGGGCGGGTCCATCTCGTCCAGTGGCTTGGCTCCTTTGCAGGGTTTGAAGTCTGACTCTGGGCGTTGGATGACTCATCCGGCTTTCAAGGAAGCCACCGGGATCCGCGCTTGGGTTTAGAGGCCCTGTTACCGGGGGCAGAACTGCGGCTACAAAAGGCTGATGGGCACAAAAGGCTTTGAGCCTGAGGTCTCAACGGCCACATGGGCCGGCGCAGGGATGTAGTGCTAAGTGGGAGGCAATGGACTTGGCGCTGATAGGGTGGGATGGGTTAACGACTTGATGCTTTGGAATTGGCCTCACCAGAGCTGCTAGAGCTCTCAGGCATTCAGTGCTGATAGGGCGGGACTTGGCAGAGTTGGGTCTCCTCGAACGGCCCAGGTGTGCTCCGGACCATCTCCTCCGGCAAGACCCCGCTGCTGAGCTCAGCTATGAGCACCTCCTCCCCCAAGGGCCGGGGCAGCGCGGGCCCCGTGATCGAGCGCCGGGCCGCTCGGCGGAAGCGCGAGGAATGTGCGTATTACAATAGGAGGCCTCCGAAAATGGTGGCTTTGCCTTGGGTTTCCCCCTGAAACCACCCGATAATTGGGGGGGGGCCTCCAAGAAACGGACCCATGTGGTCAAGATGTCGCTTGGGCTTCTTGACTTTTCGTTTGTCGAGCTTTCCTTCTTGCAGGGGGCGTCAGTTGGGCCACGCACACACACACACACCATGTGGAACCGCTAAGCAGCCCAATATGCGGGCAGAGGGTGCTTGAAGGTTCCCATGTACTGATTTGCACTTCCATGTTTGGCAAGGGGGTAGCTGAGTATGGTGCAGGGATTGGCGGGAGCCATGAGGCTAGGAGGGCACTGGGCAAAGCACACGCGCGCGCTTGATTCGATGAGGGGGTGCCCCGTGTCCATGGCGCCAAAGTCAGGCAGAGGTATCCGGTAGTTTGCGTTTTTTCCGCCTGGCTCGGTAACATGCCAGGACCCTCAGGCGCTCAGGAATGAATCCTGAGGGCTTTGAAGCGTTTCCTCCTTAAAGTCCTTGTTTTGCAGCAGAATTCGATCTCGGCCAGAGCAACAACTCAGACATGTCTATATTTCCCCTCGATGCAATTCACAAGGAAACCAAATTCACGAGGGTGACAGTAGAGGAGACAGTTTTTTTGTTTGGCAAGACGGCGGGTGACTCAGCTTAAATGGTGGAGTTGCCCAATTCCAGCATATTCCAGGCTTCCAGCCAGCCCATTCCAAGCTCCAGCCATGCCATGCCGTTTGCCTTCTGAGGAATACCGATCCACCTTCCAATCTGTGGGGTTTTTGGAGCTGCTTCGGCTGCAAGGGGTGGGCAAACCCCACTGTGGTGTAGGCGTTCCTTTTTTGAAACCTGGAAAAGCTGACAGGTCGCAAGCATTGGGAATTCAGAAAGCACGATTTCCTTTTGCTTTCACAATTTGCCAGAAGGCAAGACCGGAGAGGTCTGGACGAATCGGGGCGAGATCCTCCCAAATGTCGTTGTTCACGTCCTCCCCGGCAAATTTGTTCCCATCTCCATCTCGGAGCATGTGCCCTGAAAACTCCCGCAGTTCCATACATTCTCTTTGGGGGCGGGGCCCGGGGATGTATGGAAACATCATCTAATATTGTTGGCTAACAGTCATATCGAAGTAGAATATGGGGCGCTCCCCACCATGAATAGAGGAGTTTGCCGTTGCAAAATAGCTTAATATTGTAGGCACGTTTATTGTGTGTGTGCGTGTGCGTGTGGTCTTGAGGTGCGTTTTTGTGCGTAATCACAGTTGCTCTTCGGAGGGATAGCCAATCACATATCTGCGCTACAAGCTGACACCAGGATCCCGTTGGCATAAGGGGGGAACTACATGGCCCAACAGGTCCTTGTTGGCCCTTTTCAAGCCAGCCGACTTGACCAACGAATTACCGTCCCAATTTCGTCAGCTATGTCGAGTCACCGGCCCGCAAGTCTAGCTAGTTGGGTTATTGTCATAGCTTTTCATGGGGCCCCTTTTGGTGTCACGTTTGAAAGGCGGGCGCTTGGTCCACAATGAGAAATGGTTGCAGAGTGTATACTATTTGCATGTTCACGTGTTTGTTCATCTTGCTCATTGTTGCAGAAAAGTCTGGTTCCGTCACTTTTGGTTGCAAGTGGCAAGTTGCACGGGACATTTTGCCGAAATTCTCCCAGGAACGCATGGCCGCGGTACCCCCACTGCTTGGACATGGCCTACGGCACTGGATGGATGCCCAGCTTTCTGCCTTTTGGCTGGCAAGCAGCCCCGATGTCCCCACATTCGGCCAGTTCACCAGGCAACATGGCGGCCTGAATGTCCCCGGATTTTGAGAGGGAATCCTCGACTCTTTTGTTTGGTTGACCAATTTGGGGTTAAGTGGGTGGCATCAAGCACGCGGAGGAAGCAGTCACTGTTGTCTGCCTCACATTGGCTCAAGAATTGGAAGAGCCTAAGTCCTCAGGTGGGTCGTTAGAAAATGCTTAGGGGAATCAAACACAAGGCTTTTGAGCACGAAGAGGTCTGGCGAGCAGTTTCAAGGTTGAGCCGCTTCTTGGCCGAGTACTTGCCGACTCCATGAAAAGAAATCCTACACTATGTTCCACTCTCCCCTTTAGCCAACGAGCAAGGAAGCAAAAGGTAAACTTAACCCTGCTGAGCATTTCTTTTGTAGACTGGTGGGCCAAGAGTCCAAGAAGGAATGCCAGGGACAAGGCCGCATGTGAGAGCCTCCTGCGGTTGGCTGAGGCTCCTGAACTCCTTCTACCCAGTGGACAACATCCTCAATGCCATCAAAGCAGGCGCCGGCCGATTCACTGGCTGAGCCCGCCAGGATGTCGCTCCCCTCGCGAAACTCACGCCGGATGGGCCTCGCCTCAAAACGGCGCCTTCCAATGTTCAGTTGAGAGAAGTTGATTTATGAATCCGGCCACAAGCAGGTCTGGTTTGTGGGATGAGTGTGTATCCCCTGCAGATCCCGGGCTGCGCCGCTTCTATACTGTGTCTCCCACCCTCCTTCTACGGGGTCCTGGACTGAACCCCCGACGATCCTCGTAAGGACCTTGAAAAGGGCTAACGAATTCTACAAAATTCAGCCCCCTCCCAAAAAAAGGAGAACCTTGCACCTTCAGGTGCGGACTGGTTCCAGCTCCCAGTGGCGTACCAGACCATCCAAGCCATCGGCGGCAGGACCTTCGCGCCTCGCCAACGGAAGGCGTTCAGAAGTCGTCACGCTTGCATTACAAAACGTCCACTTGGATGTCCAGGTGCCGAACGAAGAAATCCCACTACCTTCCTTCATCAAGGACGTTGGGCATCCTTTGGTTAACCTTCTGTGAGTGAGAAATGCTTGCCTACTTTCCCCATGAAAAAGTCTGCTTGCTTGGGTTGTTGGGCCCCAATGGTCCTTGAGTTGCCGCTTGGACAGCCGGCTCAGGGATTGACATTGTCCGAAGGGCCTGGCTCATCATGGTGTTTGGAACACGGCTTCTCCGCCGCGAAAAGGACACTTGCAGGGGGGATATAGGTTTGTTTCTTTTGAGGGTACCCGTTTTGTTTGGGGTTGCTTAAAAGGGAACCAATGGAAACATTTCCATTTTTTGGGGTTCCCCATTTTAAGACACACCCTTTCTTGTTCACCGTCCGCACTAGAGAAAGGGCATGTACATGTGGGCTCCCTGAGTAGAATTGTACTTTAACACTGAGTCACCATCAGATACCAACGTGTGCAAAGATATCTATGGCTACCTTAACTTGCCAGCCTTAAGCTACCCAGGGCACATCTCGCCTCCTCCGAGGCGGAAAAGCTGCTGCAGCTGCTGACGGCGCCCTTGTACGGCGTGGTGCCCTACCTCTGCGAGGCCTTCTTGCCCCTCGGAACAGATCGGAGCGAGGGCCAACGCATGCCCCGTTTTTTTGTTTTTAATGCGAAAAGGGGCAGACAAAGATTCTGCTCGTGTCGTTTCTGGGGCAATCATGCATTTGTTTTGGTGCGAAAAGGGGCAGACGAAGATTCTGCTCGTGTCGTTTCTGGGGAACATGCATTTGTTTTGGTGCGAAAAGGGGCAGACGAAGATTCTGCTCGTGTCGTTTCTGGCGGTTTTTCTTTGGGAGGAGTTGGGAATATGTGATTTTGTTGTGGTGGGGGCGGTTGGGATGATTTTTGGAGGGGCCTAAAAGGGAAGTTAAGGGGAAGCCATACGTTTTTGTTGCTTCCCCTTTTGGGTGGTTTGACATGTTGACCATCGCCCCGTGAGTTCATAGAAGCCATCTGCCGGAAATCCTATGCTCAATCAATTCGCCCTAGGTACTAGGCCATTTGCTTTCTGTAGAGTTTCTTGTTGGTTTGAAAAGCATGTGGCTGTGGGTCAAAACCAATGGTACCATTTTGGTTGGTAGGTGAGTTCACCACCAATCTTAGTCTATTCTAGTGGGGATTGAATCGGATGTTCACTGGGGGTACGATTTGGATTTTGACCCATGGCCATGTCTCAGTTGTTTGTTTTGTTTTTGCCATTTGCTTTCTGTGGAGTTTCTTGGTTTGGAAAGCATGTCTCAGGTACCTGCTGCAGTTGTGCTCCTTTCTCATGTTGCCCTTCCTTCTGCTCATCTTCGGCATGTGCTACGAGCTGGTGGGCATGTACTTCGCCATCAACCCCGAGGACCGGAGACCTGAAGTGAGCCAACTGAGCTCCGGTGGGTCAATCAGTTTGAGGTTTCGCTGGACACCACCAAGCAAGAAGGGAAGGCGTGTATATACATATACATATCTACATAAATATATATACATATATATATATATATTCACGTATTATTGTGTTCTGCCAAACAACAACTTGGGTGAGCTTTTTTTGACGCCGTTGAGCACAGATTGGGTGTTCTGCAGGTAAAGCCAGTGTTGCATTTGTGTTTGGGGTGGGCCGTCCTTCAACCTCCCCCGGAGGTGCATCTTTGTCCCCATTGGAGCTTACAGGGCAAAGCCTTTGACGCAGACACGCTCAAATTCATCAAGCTCAAGAGTTAAACAACATGAGCGTGATGCGGTTAGTCTCCAAATGGGACATAGCAATAGAACTAACAAAACCGGGTGCAGCGTCATGGCTTCAGAAGGCTTGAGAAGAGATGTTACCCTTCGCACTGATGTAAATCTGTGAGAAGTTGCCTGGACCATCCATTTCTTTAAGGGCGCTTTGTTGAGTCACGCGTGGTTGTTTTAAGAGTGTTAAGGTCTTCAGCGGACCTTAGCTCGGGCCAAGAAATTGGGTTTGCAGCTGCTTCGCCTGGGCAATTTTTCGGGTGGATCACCAGTTCGATGAAGGCTCCAGGTGTGCAATCCTGCCTGCGAAGTGCACGTCGCTCGGATCGGTGTGAGTTGTTGAAGCTCTGCCTGCAAATGTTCTGAAGCCGGTGGCAATATGTGGCACAGGAACTTTCTACGTAAGTAGGTGCAAGGAAGTGCGTTTTCTAAGGGGCTGCAAAACAATACGCCGACCTGGGTGTGAAATGAGCCCACCCAGCATGACAGCTCCTTGCTTTGGGGTTCATCTTCCCCATGTGCAGCCCCAGTTCATGCGTCGCCCTAAGATCAAAAGCCCTGTTTCCTTGGCTTTCCCTTCGCAGTATATTCACACAGAGGTCAATTTGGAGGACCCCCCCCCCTCCGACCTTAGCGGGACTCCTTTCCGCTCACCCAGAAACTTCCTCGCTCGGAGCTGCGACAGGCTTACTCCTTCGAGACCCACACGGCGTCATATATCCCTGACATGACCTTCTCCGCGGTCGTTTCCGGCAGCTTGCAGAAACGTATGCCATTTGTTTGAGCAAAGTTGGCGATCTGAGGGTTTAGGAGCATTCTTCCATGCATTCAGTCACGCAGTGCACTGACTGGGAGAGGTAGTCCTGAAATTGCAGACCTTGGGTTGATACTTACAGGGCAGCCAAAAAGACATACTAACCGTTTCTAACCGTTTGTCGGGGGTGCCATGAGGAGGCACTCAACGTTGCTCTAAGGGTGGCCGTGCCTGTTCTCAAAACTGATTCCCTCCATACTAATTTTGTCCATTTGGGATTTTGCGTTCCCTCCATTCAGTTGGCTCCCTTTTGATTACCAACAACCTCCCAGATGTTCCATCAAGAGAACGCCCCCCAGACCTTCAAACGCACATGGGCAACCAGTTTTGCTAAACTGAGTCTGCACACCCCAATGCACACGACTTCCTTCATACGAGTATGGGATGTTTTTGAAAGCGGGTTTTAGTCCATTCTGCATGCTGCAGATCCAATTGGCGCACTCAAATGCAACACACCAAAGCGATATAGATAGACAGACAGACAGACGGACAGACGGACAGACAGACAGATTTTGGAGGCTGACAGACAGATAGGCAGACAGTCAGATAGATAGACATGATAGATAGATACTCTCATTGTTTTTGGGTACATGCACTTTTTACACATATTTATCTAGAGAGAGAGAGAGGAGAGACGCGATGCTAGGATGCCCCAACAGATGTTTTCTTTCCGAGGCCACTCCTTGGAGGACTGGTTCATGGGACTCTCTTCCGTGTCCTTCGTTTCACTTGTGGGCAGCTTTAACACCGCACCGGCCCCAGCGGCCCCAGCGGCCACAGACGGTCAGACCGCCAGACCTGTGTGCCTCAAAGTGAGCAAAGACGGAAACCTCCCTTGACCATTTTGGCAGGTGGCTGAAATTGCCTGGTTTAACTATGAACGGCTGTGCGGTTCAGAAACCTTCAGAAACCATGGATCCTGTTGGAAAAAAAGTCAATTGGTTCTGGGCGCTGCTCAAATGGGGGAAGCCCCAACATTTCGGTACCCTCCCAAAAAGCAAAACAAAAACAGACGCGAGTGAGGGATCTACCATTGGATGGTTTTTGAGGCAAGATGTCTACTTCGTTTGTACTTGTAGGCTGGGGGCAAGCCTAGCTGGCTTCCATTTCATGCCCTGGCACCCTTCTCCGAAACACCCCTAAATTCTCATCAAGAAGCTTCAAGAAAAAAAGTCCCTTTCTCCTGCCCTTTCTCCTAGTTGATGCTTCATTGTATTCGAAGCCTTGTTATCTGCCTTTATCGAACATGTGGTCCTTCAAGTACTTCGTCGACAAAAGGCCCGGATTAAGCAACCTGGTGCATATAGTCAGGAGGTGTTCCAGTTGAGGGTTCAGCCTGAGCGCTCAGCCAACTGTTTTCTGATCCTTCCATGAGTTTGACTGGGTGACCCACATGTCCATGTTGTTTGTTGCTATATTTTTCGGGGATGGGCTGCTCAAGCAGGTTTTTTTGGCTGAATCCCGGGCCGCCCCCCCGCCCCCCCCCCCACCCCCCCTCCCAACCCCCCCACCCAGCTTGAAGTCCTTCAGCCTGGCGAGGCGCTGGTCATGGTGCTGCTCATCTGCGAGTCCAACTTCCTGAGGCCGGCGCGGAGAAATTCCGCGGAGACCGGGGGATCTCTCTGGTGAACTCGGGGTGCACTTTTTCAGGTTCACAGCATTTGGTTTACCAATATTCTGCTAGCTTGTATTTTCGTTTGGACTCAATTGGGATGCTTGGGGTTGACGGAAAATGGACCCGCATCAAACCCATTGTTTTTGCATCGAAGGCGCAGAGGGCTACACTGAACATTGGCCCGAACACGCGAAGACACGCGTTTTCAGGGGTTCAGGGAGTTAAAAGAAATGACCGGGCGAAGACGCGAAGCCAGTTTGATAAGAGAAGTGAGGCGTTTTGAGGGGGAGGTGTTAGGGTGCTCGTGAGTTTGCGACAGGCTCTGGCTTGCTCGGGTGTGATGGGTGTAATTCCTCTTTGAACACACTGGAATTTGGGCACGGCACTCCACAATAGATAGAAAGTGATATGGTACTGTACCGGTTACTTCCGTGAAAGGGGTGAGCTCTGGTGTGAATCCCTAGTCGCGTCCTCCCTCCCGCTGACTTGGGAAGCGAACAGAAAACCTTTTGAATTGAAGTCGGTTTGGAAGCAGTGGCAGTCAGCTTCGGTGGCAGGTTCGTATTTGCAGCCATGATCGCTCGGCTAAGCCTGGAAGTGTGTGTATTCAAACACCTGGGAAGGCACCAACCTCTAAACCACCCCCCCAAAACAAACTCGCAGGTCTGGCAGTCCCGGAAGTCACTTGGCAACCGCCCTTCTGACATGGATGCTCCCCAGCTGTTGTCTCCAGGAATCGTGTGTCCTCGGATGGGCTGGGACTTCGCCAAGTGGATGGTACCCTTCCGGATGAAAAGATTCGTGAAACCCATGTAAGCTTTAGAGCAGAGGAAACCAAAATGGTCCCGTTTCCGCTTCAAACAAGACAGGTACCAACAACAAGAAGCCCGGGTACCCCCAGATTGCCGCTCTAAGTTGGGACCCTAAATCAAGTCCAATACAAAGCAAGAGTACCATCTAGAGCAAGACTAGCATCTCTTGGCCAAGTTTGAGGTTCACAGAATGTGGGGCCAGAATCAACATTTTGTGACCAAAAGGCGCTGCCCGGCGGTTTCTTTTCGCCAGGAACCTGCCGCCGCCCTCCATCCAGCACGCGGTGCACCAGGTCTTGAACGGCATGGGCGGGATGCTCGTGAGCAGCTATGCCTCTCGCATGGGCATGCGCGTTCTGGTTTTCTTTTCAAAAAGGGCACCCTCAAAAAACACACACACACACAAACACACACACACACACACACACACACACACACACACACACACACACACACACACACACACACACACACACACACACACACACACACACAAAGCACAAAAACACAAAAACACAAAAAAACACAAAAACACAAAAACACAAAATCACAAAAACAAAACACAAAAA